GATGCCAGTGACCACCCACCATCTTTCCAACACCCATGACCACTCACCACCTCTCAACTCTTACCACTCTCCTTGGCTCTAACCACTCTCACTTTGATCCTGCCTCACCACCTCCTGCTCTTTCTCACACACAGGCACACTTCTGCCTTTGCACAGGCTGTTCCCTCTGCCTGGAACGCTGTTCCTCAGGTATCTGTAGCTTACTTCCTTCAAGTCTTCATTTAACTTCTTTCATTGCAGCAACCCTGACAATCCTATTGACGATTGCAACCTGCCCTCCCTCCTCCATCTCCTTTACACTGTTTTTCTTTTTCGCTGTCACTGATCACCTATTGCCATATATATTACATACATACATACTTACAATGCTTTTTCTTCACTTCTGATTTCTGTTTGTTTCTTGTCTTCTCCTACTGTGACATACGCTCCAAAGGTAGGGGTTTTATCTCTTGTTCAGTGATGCATCCCTAGTGTTTGGCACATAGTAGGTGCCCAATAAACATTTATTGGATGAATGAATGAATTTGAAGAGTAACTAGAATTCCAAGTGGACCCTGAGCTGATGCCAACCCTGAGGACTGATGGAACTGGGTATTTCAAAAGCCTGTGGGATCCTAGAAGTGGGGCAGGCTCCCACACCTGTCAGTGGCTATGCTCCAAACCCACTCCAGCACCTTCTCCACCCTGACAGCTTCTCCACCTTCTGGGCGACCTGGAGGGGCAGCTAGTGGACCAGTCTGCTGCTTGCTTCATGGCAGTAAGGAGCACACTTCTCCTCCTTTCTATTCCCATCTCCTGGGAGACACCCCGATCGCTGAGAATGTGCCCAGGGTAAGGGGAAGAGGAAAAGTAGAAACCAAGAAAGGACTGATACGCAGGAGGAAGAAGTTTTTTTTTTGATGAAAATTAGTGGCCAATTCTCTGTGAACCCAAGTAAGCAAGTTATGCTCTGGTCTCCTTCTTAATGACTTACTGGGTTTAACCTTTGGGAGAAATCCTGTTGTGACCAGCCACTTAGCTTGAGGATCAACAACGCTGGGGTGATTTTAAACAGTCTTCTATGGACCTGGCTTTGAACTCCATAATCTGTAAAGCATTATGCAAATGTAATTATCATTGTCAATTGAAAAGATTGTTTCTAGACCTGGGTAAGTGTAGACGGTCAGAGTACAAGAGGAAGACCCTCAAAGAGATGGATTGATACAGTGGCTGCAACAATGGGCTCAAGCATAACGATTGTGAGGATGGCACAGGATGGGGCATGTTTCGCTCTGTTGTACACAGGGTCACTATGAGTAGGAAGCAACTCGACGGCACCTAACAACAGCAACAGACCTGGGTAAGCAGCTTTTCTATTACCAGTGACACGAGATATAGAAAAATTGCACACATTTGCACTCAACTACTAACCTAAAGGTTGGTAATTTGAACCTACCCAGCAGCACTGCAGAAGAAAGCCCTGGCAATCTGCTTCCGTAAAGATCACAACCAAAAAAAAACCCTATGGAGGTCGCCCTGAGCCATAATCGACTGGATGGCAATGAGTTTTTTGTATTGTAGAAACAAAGAAGAATTTAAATTAGAGATAATCCAGGGCGTGCAGATGATAAAGGCCTGGGGACTCCAGACTTCAGGAACAAGGAACACTTTGCAGTCGACTTCTCTAGAGATCTTTAAGTAGAATGGACAATAGTAATAGGCCCGTAATGGTAGTAACAGCAATAGTAATGATAATTACGATGATGGTAATAACAGTCCTTGGGATGATGATGATGTCAGTGGTAATACCGACAAGGGCCTTTTGCTGAGCTCCTGCAGTGTTCTGGCGCCGCGGGAGTTGCTTTACACACGCTATTCCTTGTCCTCACAGGAACCCCATGAGGTAGAGATTGCATGATGCCCGTTTCACACGTGAGGCACCCAAGGCTCAGGAGTGAGAGAGTGGCTCGGCGTCCTTCAGCTGGTACTCTGGTCAGGAACTGGGATTTGACTCCGTGTCTGTGTATCAGCCTCAGACCCCTTCTCGTGTTCAGCCTTGCTGGGTGTCACTGATCACACCATGTTTTAAGGTTGTATCTAACCTCAGAGTTTTGTGAGAAGAACATTGATTTTTAATAGCAATGTCCCTTAACGTCTTCCTATCATTTGAGTGTGGATATGCGACGTTCTGCCCTTGTCTTCCCCCAAATCTGTGTAACAGCAACTAGTATAGTGACGTGGTGGCAAAGTTTCATCCCAGGGGGTTCACCCTAGCTCTAAGTCACATGAGCTAGTCTGCCTGGCT